GTAAATACTGTAGCACCAAACTAACGGAGAGACACTCTTGATAAAGATGGTAAAAAGGCCGTTATCCTTTTCTCATATTCTGAACCAAAAACTTTAACTTCAGTGGCACTTTACTTGTTGTCTTTGATAGTGACTGTAACAAGATAAGGTTTATCACGCTTACATTGGGACCTGTACATTTTGGCTTGTAATTTAAGCTTTTCATTGACCTTCTCAACAATAAAATGATGAATATATCCCTCCAATGCATAGTTTAGGCCCTTTTGGTTACATCTGATCGTTATGTCTCCAAAAATCATCAATTGCCTCCTGCGAAATGCCATGTACTGTGACACCTGCCATAGCGCCGGTCACTGAATGTTGACATTTTGAGTGAGTGGAGGGGGGCGTGGCTTAGCCATCTTCCCTGTTTATTGGCAATTCATATTTCACCTGGTTGTTGTAGAAACTCTTAGGAGCTGCCAGCTCCACCCAGAACTCTGTCCCCACACCAAGGACTGTCAGGACTACGCCCACGATGGCCACGAAGAATGCCAACTTGATCTGGTGACATCAAACAAAACAGAATGTGCTTATGTTAAAATAATGGGAAGGGGAAGCCAAAAATGATAAAAAAACATTTCAGACAGACATGAAAAGACATAGTAGTAGGCACCATGTCTACCATTTTTCACACATACATTTTATTTTAATCACTGATGATAGTAACTGCCTCTATCCATGTTAAGGTGATTTCACAAAGTAATGTCTATTTCCTTGTACAGCTTTTAGCACCTCCTTTTGTCAGGCACTTACAATAGTCATGCTTGTGACATTATTTAATGTCTATGGCCTATTTCCAATTTCCATCCCCTATTCACTTAACGCCCACAATGTGCTGTGGTATACACAAAGAGAACAACAAGAGTGCTAGTTAATTAAGTTGAGCAAAGGGTATATATGCTGCAGTAATGTGCAGTGAGGAGGTAGCAGTACCAAAGGAAAAGGACAGTCTCAGCATGTTGTTTTTTTAATATCCTCAACAGATGAAATATCAACCCCCCAACAAGCAGCTGAGATGTGTGGGTGGGCTCTTGTACTTCTACCTTTTGTGTGGAGATGTTGAGAGTAAAGAAGCACTGTGTAATGCCTGGCCACAGTCTCCAAACTAACAGGGGGGCTTGTTTCAAAATGTCAGGAAAGTAAATATTCTTCTGTTTTTCTTATCTAAAAGACATACATCCATACATCTTCCGAATTCAAGCTTCTTTCCTTCACCAGTCTACGACTTAAGTAAGCTTTATTGCCTTCTTAACTCATCGTAAAACATGCTTCATTCAAACTTGACAGACACCCGAACTCATGAAAACCTTCTTGATTAGTCTTTCCACCCTGATTTGATCGGACTGAACCCTTTATTCTCCCTCTAAATTAGTAAAATGAAATTACAACCCAAACAACATTCTCGGTCCATTTCAGCACTTTCAATAGCTTTCATTTAACTTTGTGGTTTCTCAATCTTATCTCTATCTATCTGAATTAGGGGTAAAGTGTCATAATAAACAGTTTTTTTAATGCTCACTGTGTCTCTGGGGGCTGCTTCAAAATCTGTTTTGTTCTTGTGCGAACTGGAGACAACAGTGGTGCTTGTGTGAACTACAATTTCAGCTAAATTTCTCGTCTCCGTGTCTGGGTATCCAGGAAGTGTGCTCCAGATACTTATTAAAACAAATCCTCCTTCTTGTCTTGCATTGCAAACTACTTGCATGTTCACCAGTTTTCATTCAACCTATCTAAAGAAATGCAGTGGAGAGTGGACGAGGCTGCAGCTTACTGTAGCCGTACAAAAGGGTCCCGCAGGTGGGGGACCATGCAGGACTTGAGCTACTGAGAGCAAACACCAACTGGTAGCGCTTTGTTCAAGCTGCCATCTGATGCCGACAAGAACAGAATCATTTTGCTGGATGCTGTTACCAACTACAAACCAAAGAGAGCTTGAGTGTGTTACTATGCATTAAAGTTTTCGCTCATAACTATGTATAATATATTGACTGAGTACATTAATTTTTTTTTAGGCCTCTGTTCCAGTGATAATCGTGGCCAGAGGCATTCTGTATTCAGGTTGTCCATGCATAGGTACGTATCCCATTTTTGTGAATGTAATACCTCAAGAAAGCATTTGGGGAATTTCATCAAATTTGGCACATTTATCCACTTGGACTCAAGCAGGAACTGGATTTTGGTGGTCAAAGGTCAGTGCGACCTCACAAAACATGTTTTTGGCCATAATGCAAGAATTCATATATTAGTTATAACAAAATTTCTCATTAATGTCTAATATGATAAAATGATGAAGTGATGACATTTTATATCCAAAAGGTCAAAGGTCAACTTTACTGTGACATCATAATGTTTTGCAAAAAAAACTTTTTTGGCCACTATTTGGCATCATATCTCAAGAACAGAGGGGGAGACATTTGGTCAGATACTGAATTGGTGACACAAATGTTGGGTGTCCACTTTGAAACTGTGCTGATTGTTTAGATCCCCTGCAACACTTGGGGTAAGATGTGTGTGAAGCATCCATGTTTTCACAGACATGAATGTAAACTGTAACTGCAACCTGACTAAGTGATTTTGCATCTGCCTCCTAAGAATGACTGAGCTTCACTGTCAGCTGAGAGACAGTGGGGAAATACAGTGTGTAGAGCATGTCATAACTTACCCAGTGACTAAAGGGTATATTATGTCCAAACCAGAGTTGGTGATTGTTCTGTCCAGTTTAAATGAAGCACATGAATATATTGTTAATAGCCAGTTGTTGGACCAACTGTAGCCAGTTGGAAAATTACTGGGGACCTTCTTCAAGATCCCAAAAATCAACCCAAAAAAACAACTAAGGGCAGCAGGGCTGAGAGGGCTGATGATCACTGACTTTTTCGTCACCTATTGCTACGTTTGGCCTACAATGACGATGCTTTATTCTTTATGTCAACAACGTCGTGTTTGAGACGCCCATTTCCACGTACTGGGCAGGTTCGGGGACTATTTGGGGGTTGAGCGTCAGGAGCTCAGGTGCAATGCATCCTTGTACATTTAAGACTCAGAAGAACTTAGTGTTCTCTGGCAGTAGGCCCTGCAGCACTGAGAAATGTTATTTCCTCAACTGACATCAACACTGCTTGGATATCCACTTCACACATGGTGCATTTCTCGTTTCCTACACTATAAGGAGATGGCATTAAACCCCCTACTAAGCGTCTATCAGGTTAGAAAGGACAACTTGTCGAAGCTACTGGTGGCATGGTGGCATTTTGCAAGTGTTGCAGGAATTACATTTTGTCATCAATGCTAATGCTGTTAGCTAAAGTAAAAACTCACAATTGCCCTTTTCCTGTTTGGCCCTTAATCATATGCTGGCTTACTAAATTGGCACTCAGTCATCAAAACTTAACTGTGTTAGGGTATTCAGTTATAAATTAAGGTCCTCTGTACAACTTGTGTATGTGTGGGAAAATGTCATAAAGTGATGAAATTGAAGAGCCTGAAATCTCAGCTGGCTATGTCATCTTTGAGCAATTATATCCCACCTGCAGATTACTGTCATGGTTCTGATGGTTACATAACATTTTATTTCCTTAATGTCAAAGAACTGCATTTGATCTTTGGCAAATACTTATTTTCTAACATCAGAAGTCATTCATCTGCTCTTGTGGAGTGTTTCCTGCCCCGTGGACGAGCCTGATTTCAGTTGAAAAGGCAGCTGTATGACTGATTGGTTCCTTTAGCTCCAGAGTACTTTCATACAGCCTGAAGGAAAAACACACATTCACACAATATGACACCGAGTCACCTTTCCTTCCTGGGCCTCGCTCATGGTGTGTCCCGTTGACGTCGTCCTGCGGCGCTTGTTCCCTCCAAAGGTACTGCGTCCAGTCATGAGGCCAGCCAGACCTCCGGCAGCCTGGGGTGCTCCTCCTGGTGCAACCACCGTTCCTGGCGCGGCCGGACCCACCGTGCGACCCTCCTCGTCGGTCACAAAAAAGGTAGACCACATGATGTGACAAAAAAGGAAAACACTAAGACAGCTCAGTGGGATTCTGTTTGGCAGCAACGCTTGATTTGTGCTTTGCCCTTGACAGGGATGGTACAATTTTAGCAATAGAAAAAGATAGGATTAAAACAGAGGAAAACTGTTGTGTATTCTCAGTTTGTGCCCATAAAGAAAACAGGAAAAACACCTGAGATAGTAAAGTAAAATGATGTCATACAGGTGTATCTGCCAGAAAGGAAAGAGAGGCACAGTAAGACAGAGGTAGAAAAATGAACTGAAAAAAAGAAACAGCTAGGCTATGTGATAATAACTAACAGCAGAAAAAAAGTCTATACAAAAGTAGAGGAAACACTTTAAGGCCAAAAATTCTCCTTGGTAACAAAAACTAAAAACATATGTTTCTGAAAACTTTAGCAGACAAAGGCAGGAATCAGCCTTCTCTTGTAAAAAAGCCTCAGAACAAATTGCGGTTTTGATGACAGGTGCAAAACTGATAAATGAATCATCGTGAAAAAATAAAATGGCAGAAAATATGTGTAGGAAAGTGAAGCCACTGGAGTCTGTAGAGGTAGAAGTGGATGAAGTGATGCTTCCTAGAGATGAGAATGGGAGGAGAAAAGGAAAGATGAAAATATAAACTATGTCAGGCATTTATATGCATATTCACCTGAAACTGAGATTTTGATCTTTTGCACAAACTTCACAGTTTACAGAGATCAGAACTGTACAGACAGAGGAGAGATGCAGGCGTAGAAAATGCAGCGCATTTCATGGTACAAAAATAAACCAAGATACAGAACATGAATGCTGGTAAACAGAGTGCATGCAGGAGTATTAGCACTGTGCCTTCTCCACTGATTTACACAGGCCCACATATATTTAGATTTAATTATGTAGAGATGAAATAAAGAATTACACTGTGTTTGTGTATATAGACCTGTTTGACATGTGTAGACATAGATGCACTTATGGGTACATGCAACCAATTTGGACCTTGTGGACATGAGCAATAATGGAAATTACTCCCATTCTTTGGGAATTTCCGTATTAAGTTGAGTTGCTCTAATACTAATACCAGTATCGGAAAGGCACCAGTCCAATACCACGTAATTTATCAACAAACTCAGCTAAAGTTGTTGTAAACCCACAAAATATAGCAGTTTTTCCTAGAAATCAATTCTTCATTCTAACACAGTAGCAACCTTCACAGCAAGTTGGGCTGTGCAGCTACGGGTAACTCCTGTTTAAGAGCAATGAAGAACTAGTCTGAGTGGGCGGAAGTTCGCTGCATAGATCAGCCTCTCATTGGGCGGAACGAGCCACTCGCTGAAGTCCCGCCCTACCACCTCCGGTTGTCATAGTTGACAAACGTCCTTTACTAACTTTTGCAGTGTTTGATCTTGCAGAGATGTAGCCATTTTTCTGTCATGGTTCGCATCCTGTAGGCGATATTTTTGTGGGCGTGTTACACCAAAACCTGTTTCCCCCCGGCAATATTTTTGCAAGCGCACCATTGCTGTGGCAC